GTAGGGGTGGATTTGATAACACCAGCAATCATTCTTATTGTGTTATTCAATTGGGCATCTACTTTGTGTGTATGTGGGCTGTTAAGCCAGGCTGAAGAGCAGTATTCCGCGGTTGAGAAAACAAGGCCCAGAGCAGATGATCGCAAGGTGGAAGCCAATGCTCCCCATGTTGTGCCGCACAGCTTCTGGATGATGTTGTGTCTGGATTTAAGTTTTTGCGCTGTTTTTGACAGATGTTCCTTGAAAGATAGAGTTCTATCAAGAGTCACCCCAAGGTACTTTGGTGTTTTATTTTAGGCCAGTGTGGTGTTTTCAAATTGGACGTTCAGTGTTCTTCCTGCAAGCTTGTTAGTTAGGTGAAAACTGGAAACCTCTGTTTTGGTAGCGTCCAAAGACCAAGAAGAAAACACTTAACATGCAAAATAATTTTTTGTTATATGACTTTCTAGCATGTGGCTGTCCAGAAAAATCTCGCTGAAGGTTCTAACAATAGTCAGTCTGCAATGTTTGACTATGCCAAAACGAACACCAAGCGGTCAATTTAACTTTGTTTAATGATGCTGTTGATTGTGCAACTTTAATAATTTTAAACTAGTGTTTTGTTGTGTTTAATGTTCTATTTTTCTATGCTTACTACAGGAAATTTTTGTGACAAGTATCCACAACATTGTCCATCTTGATCTAAAGCCTTTACAAATGCTTCATAAACCTCAAATTGATAATATCAAAGAGCAACGTAGTTTTTTTTATTTAAACTGTAGTTTATTGATTATGTTTTGTTTTCTTCGAATTACAATATCTGATGATAATTCTCAAAGACCAATATTTTCTAACCGAGTGCTGCTTTTTTGTTTTGCTGGCCCTTATCTCCCCAAAGGCACTAAATCAGTCTTGGCCTCCTTCAAACCATACCTCAAACCTTGCAAATTCTGCGTCTATCATTTTTACTTCTAGCAAATTGTGCACGTATGCGGCCACTTATTCCTCCCACCTTTTCCCTGGTTTTCTTTTTGGTCCTTACGACCTAGGGCTCTTTTTAGCAATCTTTCGGCCTAAATTCTTTCTACATGACCAGTCCATCAAAGTGTAACAAATTCTGATATCAATGCCTCTATAAACATCGTTGGTTGAGTTCGTCAGTTGACAGAAAAGTCCTAGGTTTCCTTAGGACTTTTCTTTTAAAGAGTTCCAGCTTTCTTTTTGTGCTTTTATCATCAACCATGTCTCGTATCCCGAACATAGGTACTATGGGTCGGATAACAGTTTTGTAGACCCTGAATTTCGATCTCCAGTGTGTGACTTTTAACACAGATCGAATTAAAAAACATACTTTAAAATGTTTAGGTCATATTTTCGATAGGCTCAGATTGCATACTTGAAATAATAATAGGATGAAGAATAAGTACAGCAAATTCTATTCTACTTTATTTCAGTCACAGTCATCAATTATTAGTTACAAAAGGTGATTTTTTAAATCTACATGATTATTACATCTATATAGTTTAGGAGTAACATTATATATAATAATAATAAATTATTTTTTATTCTATGGCAAAACATAAAAAAGATACATACCTACTTCAACTATAAAAAATCGAATATGTATAAAGATTCGAAAAATAAAAATATTAAGCATCATTTTGCGTCTGATCAATGGGTGTTATTAGTTACTCCTGTGGTTTTGGTTAAGTCTACATTTTTGTGATGGTAATAAGCAACATATTATATTAAAGCCTAATAGATATTAAAATCAATAGTAAACAGTAAAATGTTGTATTTATTGTATACAAGTGGTATTCCATAAGATTTTTTTTAAATAGTGCATAATCTTTTATGCATTAGTATTATTGTCTGAGGTCTTTATCTGTACAAAATTCAATGTATGTATAATACCGTGCATGGGGCCATTTTGAAGCCAAGGTACATTTTGAAGCCATGTAATATTTTATCAGATAGGCTTGAGCAATCTCTTATTTGAATTCTAGTTGGGTAAGCTGTGTTTGATGTTTATACTTCTTGGATATACATCAGGTATTGACTATAGCAGCATCTAGTAGCCAAATAAAAATTAACCACCACCACTTTATTCTACGAATTGAAATCCAGGATTTGGATATCTGCTGGTCCATGAAGTCAGTGCCTCCCATAAACCGATTATATTAAGAAATGAAGTAAGGTTGTGATACCTGAATACTTTTTTTTCAGGTTGAGAATAGTGTTTGACTTAAGTAACTGTCTTTTCATCATCATGTCTTTTCTTTTTTTTTATCTTGAAAATATGCTTATTTTTTTAGATAAGTCTCAACTTAAAGGAATTCTATTTTTCCTCATAGATCTTATACCATCATAACCCCTTTGTTTCCTATAGAATAGCAAATTGAAGCTTATGAAAAGATTGTCGAAGTAAAATGTGAACAGAAGGTTTTATACAAAGTAAAGAAGCAATTTTTTTTTAAATCGCTTTCACGCCTTTGGTTTTTTTCCTTGATATATATCAAGTTCACCAAATAACCAGAAGTTCATACCAAAGTTAAGGGATCATATTTTATACCCATATCTAATGGGCTTACCCGAATAGACTTTCATTCCACAAATACATGAATGCTTCCCAAAGTGTTTGATCATAACCTCATCGTAATTCAACTTCTGTTCAGGTATCCAGTTTGAAAAGGCCCATCAGTAGTTGTAGCTTCCACATTTTGTCACTATCTACAGGCTATGTGTTGTCGGAGCGGTGCAAATATTTGCGAAACCGATCTCTTCTCATGGATTCTGTCACTAACATATTTTTCATATCTTGTTTGCAATCGTAGTAAAAATACCTTCCAGATAACTCATTATACCCTATAACAATTCTATCCCAATTCCAAAATCCTATTCTATATCCTATCCCAATTACAAATTTCAGTTCTTTGTTAGAAATTTTTGTATCCGGTTTATTGTGGAAAAATGCGTATTTTCTTGATTCGTCTACAAGTACAATGCAATATTTCCAAGCACTATTCGACACCGGAAGAGAAAGAATAAAAATAATAAAAATAAAAAATGCAGCAAGACAAGGAGATTTGCTCTCAACGTTACTATTTATTATATCACTAGACAAGATAATAAATAAACCTGTCAAACGCAGGAACTATAAACAAGAATGCAGTACAAATAATAGGATGTGCTGACGATATAGTAGCGACAGATAAAAAGGCATTAAAGAAAACCTTCCAAGAAATAGCAAACGAAGCCAAACTGAGAGAACTGGAAATAAATAAAAATAAAACAAAATACATGAACGTACGCAAGAAAAAGAAAACACAAATATAACAAAATACATAAATACATAACAAAATAAATTGACTTGTTCAGAATTTATTCCAAAATTCATTATATTCAGGTTTATTTATTTGTCTAGTAAATGAATTTAGTATAATCAGATTATTCATATAAATCCATTTTACGTGACTAGCGGTTGTGGCGAATGAGATAATTTTGTCGGCATTTTGAATATTCGCAATCTAGTTGGATTTGTGGTTAATATTTTATGGTCTACCTAATCGTATAAAACAAACAGTTTTTTAACCATAAATTATTCTACTGTGAAGATCAATTATTACAATTCGTGTGAAAGGTATCCTAAAGATTTTTACTACACAACTGTGTGTATATGTATACAGGGTTGGAATAAAGTATGGAAACAAGTAAATTTCACAACAAAAACACAGTGTAAAGAGATTTAGTTGTTAGAACAAAATCACGATACATTTAATATGCATAAAAATTAAAAACAAACATGACTTCTTCATATTTCAAAAACCTACCCATACTGGCACGACTATATACAATTCATTATCCCATCCAACACAACATAAACTGACAGCCTATCATAGTATGTTACATAGATTAACAGAAATTCCGATGTCAAAATACAACTTTGAGACAGAATTAAATATAATTAAACAAATAGCAGTAAACAACGGATACAACGAAGCAACAATTAATAAAATGTTAAATCAAAAACTACACAAGAAAGCCCTGAAATTAATATTTCCACCACCAGATAAAAAACCCAGTACCTTCTGCTCGATTACATATACAGGCAAAATATCAACAAAAATAGCCAAACACATAAAAAAGAAAGAAATAACACCAGCTTTTCGAACAAATAACAACCTAGGCAATTATATTAAAAACAACAAGAACAAAATAAAAAACACTTACATAGTGGTGTGTACAAACTTAAATGTTGCGACTGCCCAAAAACTTACATCGGTCAAACTGGTAGAAACTTTAATAAACGAATAGCAGAACATAAAATGGCTTTTAATAATAGAAAAACAGATTCTACATACGCACTTCACCTTCTAGATCATAATCATTCTTTTAATGACAAATTTAAAATTCTTCACATTCAAAATAAAGGCCTTAAGCTATCTTTGTTAGAATCTATGGAAATCAACAAATTAAAAAACACAGATATAATTCTGAATGACCAACTTGAGACAAACAGTTCCTCTCTCCTCAACCCATTTCATTAGAGACTATAAAGTATAAACGCAAGCCAAAAATAGATCACTTGAGAAAGGCAATCAGCCGAAACAGTTGTAGTGATAAGAGTTAAAATAAATTTTGTGAAAGTTTAAAAACAAAGTTTTTAGTGTTTTATTGTTACATATTGGGTTGACCAATATCTCAATCTTTCGTTTACTTTTTTTGCAAAAAAAGTTGCGCTGTTAAAGGGCTAATAAATACAAATATATGACTAATTATTCATTTTTAAAAATAACATTTTACTGGTGTTAGAATTGATTTTAATTTCTATAAACAACGTCATTCAACGTCACAAATCACGCAGTCAACAACAGAAAGGTTGAAAGTATTTCCAATTCTTTTTGTTTTCTAAGAAAGCTATAATCACAGCAGTTATACTGTGCTCTAACGCTATAAATATGTACAATATCAGATCAATATTTCCTTTAAAGCACTAATAAATTAAACAAAATTATTATCGTTTAAGTGCCGGCATCGGGCAGCTTTAGGGCTAAATACTGCTTGTGTAGTCTCTGTTTGCAAAACTCGTAAAATTCGATTTCTTTCGTAAAATTTTTTCTCACCAACTCTTTAACTTCTTCGCTGACGGGTGGCTTGAAGTTGTTTTTGTTGATGGGATGGTAGCGACTTATTTCATCTGAAACAGTAATAGTGAAGATAGTAGGAAAAGCAATAATTGTTTAAATACCACAGAAAATTAAAAAATAAATGTGGAAAATTTTCAAAAATGTATCAAAATTATTAAAATTTCAAAAATTGAAACTCAACTGACATGGACATTTAAACAGAAAGGACTAAGGGGAAATAACGAAGCAGTTACTCACTCCGTGGCGTTGCAACCCTTCATGGGTTTTAGCCGACTCGACAACATGCCTCCACTGTTTTCTGTCTTGAGCAACCTCCATCCAATTCTCCACGCCCATAGTGCTTAGGTCTCCTGCTATATTATCTCGCCACCAGAGATGAGGGCGTCCGCGTGGTCTCCTTATGATATGATGTTGGCGTCTGGGTAAAGTTCTTCGAGCTCTTTGTTAGCTCTTATCCTATATTGTCCTGATGCTTCATCCAGCACAGAACCAAAGATCTTCCTTAGGATTTTTCTTTCCCAAACACATAGTCTCTCTTAGTTTGCCTTTGTTATCGTCCACGTTTTGCTTTCATATATCACAACGGGTCGTATGATTGTTTTATAGTCCTGTATCTTCGTACGTCGTGTTAGTTGTTTCGATTTTATAAGGTTTTGGAGGGCAAAAAGACATCTGTTGCCGGCCTGAATCCTATTGTTTATTTCTTGTGATCCGTTATTGTCTTCAGTTATTGTTGTTTCAAGATACTTGAACTCTCTAACGTGCTCAAAGTTAAAGCCATCGATTGTGATGCTCTGACCGATTCTGTCTCTGCTTTGGTTATTGCGGCTCATATACATATATTTCGTCTTATTTTCGTTGATTTTTAGCCCCATCTTCTCTGCTTCCTTCTCAAACCTCACGAAAGTCTCCTTCATCCTTACTCGTGTGTTTCCTATTAGATCGATATCGTCTGCAAATGCCAGTAGTAAGTTTGGTCCTTCTCGATGAAATACTGTATTCGGTTTTTCGATTCTTGCACTTCTGAATATGTGCTCCAGAGCTAAGTTGAAGAGTTGTGGTGAAAGTGCATCTCCCTGTTTTAGTTCATTGTTTATTTCAAATGTCTCCGAGTATCGTTGTCCAACTCTCATATTACATCGTAACCGTTCCATACCCATCCGTATCAACCTGAATAGTTTTTTGGAAAGCCAAGTTCCTGCATCGCTGTCCACAGTTTGTCCCTGAATACTCTTTCAAATGCTTGTTTAAAATCTATGAACATCTGATGAAGCTCACGATCAAACTCCCAGAAATTTTCTATTATCTGTTTTATTGTGAATTTCTGGTCAACATTAGAGCGGCCCGGTCTAAATCCGCATTGATAATCTCCAACAATTTCTTCTGTGTATGTTTTGGTTCTTTCTAGCAGGATGTTTGCAAGGATTTTGTAGGTGGTGTTTTTTTGTGTATTGTACAATAACCCCTTCTTTCTATTAATTTGGCATTGTTTCTTCTCGCCAAATGTCTTAAATTAACTTGTATATAGAACTGTACAACGCTTCTTCTCAATGTTTTAAGCACCCTGCGGGTATACCATCGCTATCTGGTGTCTTATTATTTTTAAGCTTTTTAATTGCCTTTATTACTTCTTCGTATGTTCGGTATTGGTCTTCTATTTCAGCTGTATGTACCTCTATGTTTGATATATTTCTGCTAGATTGGTCATTTAATAGTTAATAGATGTATTCCTTCCAGGTTTTCAGTCTCTCCTTGTCATCCGTGATAAGATGTCCACTATCATTTTGAAGGAAGTTTCCTGTTCTTGCTTGATACCCGGTCTTGATATCTGAAACTCCTTTGAAGAACTGTCTCGCTTGTTTGTTCTTTCTGTTTTCTTTTATATCTCTGATTATTTGTTCCTGATACTCTCTCTTCTTCCTTTTCATTAGTTTTCTTGTGTCCGTTCTTCTTTGCCTATAGATTTCATTGTTGTTTTGCGAGGAGTTTTGTAGCATGTTCCTTCTAGCCATATTTCTTGCTGTTATGAAGTTCAGACAATCATCATCGAACCATTTTTTTGTTGTTTTGTTTTTGTGTCCTAGTAGTTTATCTGATACGCTTGTCAGAGCTAATTTGATATTTTTCTAAGCTTAGTCTATGTTGTTATAGTCTTCTGTCTGTGTTAGAGCGATTTTTATAGCCTTTTGAAATTTCTGTTCTGTCTCCTTATTAGGTAGAACTTCGGTATTTCATAATTGTGTTGGTGTATTCTTGTGTGTTTTTTTGGACGCTATTCTTGTCCTTATCTTCGCTTTTACCAGAAAATTATTCGTGTATCCATCAGCTCCTCTTAGGCTTTTTACGTCTAGACAATTACTACTCCTCCTGGCATCTACTAGAACATGATCGATCTGGTTTCTTGTGACGCCGTCGTTGGAGACCCACGTTTGTTTGTGTATTTTCTTGTGTTTAAACATTGTCGATTTTATTAGTAGGTTGTGGGACGCTGCAAAGTCTATTAACCTTGTTCCATTATCGTTGCTGACATCGTGAATACTATGGTTACCTATTGTTGGTTTGTACGCTGCTTCCTTCCCAATCTTTGCACAATGAAATCTCCTAAGATAATATGTATGTCCTGTTTGGGTAGATTATTTATCAGTTCCTCTAGTTTCTTGTAGAAGTTATCTTTTACATGCTCTTCTTTTTTTTCTGTCGGTGCATGAGCAGCAACTAGGGAATAGTTATTATGTAGTTGTCCCTTGAGTCTGATATAATAGAGTCTTTCATTAACGGGTTTGAAAGTTAAAACTGACCCCACAAGACTTTCCCTGACTATAAAACCAGTGCCGAATTGATGTTCCCGTTCGCTTCCGCTGCAAAATACTACTGATTTATTAGTCTTTAGTGTACCTTCTCCAGTCCATCTAATCTCTTGTAAAGCAGTTATGTCCATGTTTCTGGATTCAAGTTCTTTGACCACCTGAGTTAGGGCTCCAGACCGATATAGGCTTAATACGTTTCGGGTTAATAACAACAGTTGATAGAATCTAAAATCTATGAATTAAAAAACGAAAAGCTAAAATACACTGAATGAAAAAAAAATAGCATACAAACCGATGAAAAAATTGTTGTTGAATGAGCTGGCAAAACTGGTAAACATGAGAAGAAAGGAAATAAAAATAAGGCATATGCCTGCGACATATTTGTGCAGATACATGCAGAATAGAGTTAGTGCTCGTTTACAATTGTAATCATATTAACTTTTTATTACAACCGAATGTATTCTCCTATCATTCTTCTTAACTAAAAAACATTTTTTAACGGATAATATAATAATATAATTGTAGAAAATTATTCACATTTTCTACAATAGTTTATTTATTATTCTAATAATTATTATTATTCCACTAAATTGTCTTCTAAATTAAATTAAAGTCTATACGATCAGCACGACATCCCTTCTTCGTGATGTTTCTTATCTTCTGCGCCTGTCAGAATTTTACATTAATCTATTCAAATCAACTACCCTTAATATCACTTCGTTGCTGCCTTCTCAAATAGAAGGACGTAAGTCAATTCATTTTTTCAGTTTCTCAAGTAGAAACAAGATAGTTCTGTTCTCGCGCTTCTCAAATAGAAGCAGTTTTTGAATAACTTATTTTATTAAATAGTTAATTAAACTAAATTCAGTGTTTGTGCATCAAATATGTAAGTACCTATAATAATTTTTTCATACAGAAGATAATCTACGGTTTCGTGCCAACTTTTCATGAATGCCGGTCCGACAAATTACAGGGTTGCCGGATATTCAATAATCTACATATAAACTTTATTGTTCTATATTTTCATATAAACAGTTGTGCGTTTAAGAACATTGTACATAAGCATTTATATTTTATTATTATAAAAAGGGTGATTTGTTGGCGATTCCGCTTTTTTATTTATTTTTGTAAATAATGTAATAAAAATATTTCTAGCTTTTATTTTTATTTTAATTATTTCATTTTCCATTTTACTACTCACTACATAATTACATATCCGCAAGTTTGCGACCTATGGGTCGCTGGTCCTTCGAGGTTTAATTTATTTTTTATCTACCAAATGTAGGAAGGTGAGATCATAATTTTCCCCTACAATAATTTTGCGAAACTATGTAGTACATTCTGTAACACAGCTCATTATCCAGTAAGTTGCTCATTTTTTCGTCGTTACAGATCTTCTGAGAATGAATTTTTATACAAAAATGCAGTATTGCCTACCTGTTAATGACATAATAATACAGACAAATAAATTACTTACTGTAATAAATATCAGTAGCTCCTTCGAAAAATCGAGGCACATAATGTTCTAAGACTGTTAAAGTTGTATTTAAATCTTCCAATACACCTACAACAGCATAATTCCTTTCGACTGCCCTTTTTGCACGTTCTAAGGCTCCTTCTGTGTTGAACGGTAAGCAGTCAGGATGGTGGCCGCAAAAGAACATCGACTGACGTCGGTGATCACCAATACCTTCCCGTATTTCTCCTCTTAGGTATCTACATTCACGGTCTCCAGATAAGACGCATTCCTCAAAATCCTAAAATATATTTAAGTCAATATTTTAAATAATCTGTTGTTTAGTTTTCAGGAAAATTTGTTTAGTCAAATACTGAAGACTCAAGTAACATTGGAGACTAAAGAACTATATTTTTAGTTTACAAATTTAAAGATGTAATCCTTTATTAAGAATACTGTTAATATCATTACAAATTAAAGTCTTTGAAATCTAAATTACCTTTTTTAACCATTTCGGGTCAGGCAGAGGTATATCAGGAAAAGCAATCTTCCGTTCAACGTAATACCAAGGGGCTCGAACATAGTAATACCATGATATAACACGTTCAACCGGATCTCGAACCAAATTAATGTAAATTGGTTCTGGTAATCCAAAACTACAAGAAATATGTCATTAAAATTTCGACACCATTTTAATTGTTCTCATATAAGTTGATTTAACAAAACACATTCGTATTCTACCAGAAATATTCCTTACATTGAAACTCTGGCTTTGTTGTTATATTTTATTGATCTACTTTAACAGTAAAGTTAAAATATTTCTCACAACAATCTTCTTAGAACAACACACCATGATAATATTATAAGAGGAAGTGTCGCAGAGTGGAAGAGATGATGGAGAGGCAAGGAAGGCGAAGAGTATAATAGATGGCTAAAATTTTAAACAACAAGAACACCTATAAGTATATACCATTGATTCATTGAATGAGGAATAAAATAAACACAGAAATCCGGGCAATCAAACTACAATTCTGGAAGAAATACTCTACAGATATGGAACATAATTTACACGCAGGTCAAAAGGAGATATGAGGCAAGCTACGAAACCTTGAAAAACCATTTAACGAATATTTACAGACAAAATAACAACAGAAACTTGGGAGAATTATTTCAACACTGTATATCGTGAACTACACATGAATGTGTAGTATGAGATTGTATAATGGTACTAGAATGAGATTGTATAATTGGATAATAATAATCATATCGTATGACAAGGAAAAGGGTATGTGTCTAGCAAGAACGTGTATAAAAATAAGTCACTGCAACCCTATTAGCATACTTGTCGATATAAATGCAATATTTTTATTTCGCGCAGCGGAAGAGCAGTATTCCGTGGTTGAGAAGACAAGACCAGGGCAGATGATCGTAAGGTGGAAGCCGATGCTACCCATTTGAGTGTTCTTCCTGCAAGCTTGTTATTTAGGTGGAAACTGAAAACTTCAGTTTTGGTAGCGGTTGGTTGGAGCCTCCATTTACGGAAATACTCTCCGACTGTGTTTAAGTCCGTCATGAGGATTTCTTCTATTTCTTTAAATGACTTACAAGTTGCAAGGACCCAGTCATCGGCATAAACAAACATCACAAAACTAAAGAGAAAAGGAGCTAGAATAGATATCTGAGGCATTTCATTCTTCAGTTTTTTTGTGCATGCCTTCTCTCCAAACTGTTTCATAGGCCGCTGTTACTTCTATGAATGCGGCTGCAGTTTTAGGATTTATCTGGAACCCTGCCTTAATAAATATGGTAAGTAAAAGAACATGATGTACGCAGTTTCTTTTCGGTCGGAAACCTGCCTGATAAATCGGTATTGATTTAAGTAGCTTTGGTCTAATTCTGTTGTGGATGAGTCGTTCTAGTAGCTTGAACGTCGCGGATAGTAAGGCTATTGGTCTGTAGTTCTTAGGATTGTTTTTATTTGGTTTCCCTGGTTTTAATATGGCAATACCCTTCGTCGAGTTCCTATGGTATGGTCATCATCATAATCAATAACTCGACAACTCTTTCTGGGTCTTAGCTTGTTCTAGGATTTTCCGCCATTCTGTTCTGTTCTTTGCTTTGCCTTTCCAGTTGGTAATCTTAAGTGTTTTCGGATCTTGTTCCACTTGTTCCATGTATCTAAGTTTGGGACTTCCCTTTGACCTTCTCCCTACTAGTGTTTGCCTCATTATATGTTTTGGCGTTTCAGTCTCCAACATCCGTTTAACATGGCCCATCCAGCGCAGACGTCCGATCAACCTAGGGTCAAATGGAATGTTCATTTTCCGGAGATCTGCTTGGATGTTGTCTCTCCATCGCATTCTGGGACGTTCGAGTGGTCTTTTGCCTGTGGGAATCTCCTCCCATACCAGTTTTACAAGTCTTTCATTATGCAGTCTGTGCAGGTGGCCTGCCCATCGTAGTCGCTGGGTTTTAATTTCTTGGACAATATCAGCGTCGTTGTAGAGTGCTTTTAATTCGATATTGGTTCTGATCTTATACTGATTTGTGGTGATATCATGGTGAGGTCCGAACAGTATTTTTCGTTCAAAGCGTCTGAGCTTCTTCGTTTGCTTTGGTCATGGTCCACGTTTCGCATCGGTATGTTATTACAGGTCTGACGATGGATTTATAGATTTTAATCTTTGAACTTTTTGTGAGATTTTTTCATTTTATAAGCTTATCCAGTGCAAATACACAGCGGTTTGCCGATTGGATTTTATCTTTTATTTCTTCAGTAACCTCGTTGTCACCTGTAATTACGGCCTCCAGAGACTTAAAACGTTATACTCTTTCGAAATTGAAGGTGTCGACCGTCACATTTTGTCCTATTCTGTCTCTTCGTGTCGTTTTATTTATACACATATATTTCGCTTTCTTTTCATTAATCTTTAGCCCCAATTCACTTGTTGCTCCTTTCACCTTGTTGAAAATGTCTTTCGTTGATAGGATGGAGTCTCCAACGAGATCTATGTCATCTGCATATGCGAGTAACAGCTTGGGACCTTAAACCGATAGCAATTCTGTTTTTATTTCGGCCGACCTCATGGTTTTCTCTTATATGTCGAAAGTCTATGAAATATTTGTGTATGGATATATTATACTCTCATCCCTTTTCTAGAAGTTGTCTCAGCGTGAATAGTTGATCTATTGTTGATCTGTTTGCCCTAAACCCGGCTTGATATTTGCCTAGGACATTTTCAGCATAAGGGATTAGTCTACTAAGAATGATGTTTGAGAGGGTTTTATATGCCGTGTTTAGGAGTGAGATTCCTCTATAATTCGCGCATTTTGTTTTATCCTTTTTTTGTGGATGGGCACTATTATGTTTTCCTTCCATCATGCTGGTATCCTTTCTTCTAACCATATGTGCGTTATTAGCTGGTGGATTTGGCGATGTAGTGCGTCCCCCCCCATATTTCAGAAGTTCTGCTGGTATCTCATCCGTACCCGGTGCTTTGTGATTTTTCAGCTTATTTAAGGCCTTTTGGGTTTCTTCAAAGGAGGGATTTTGGACGGGCATTTCCGCTGTGATATAGATCTCTTCTTTGTGCTGTTTTTCCTGAATGATGTTTAGAAGGTCCCTAAAATACTTTTTTCATTCTTCAGTTACTTCTGCACCGTCGATTATAATACAGCCTTGATTGTCTCTCAGTATATGGATGGAATTAGTTCTATGTCCTCTTTTCTCAGAGGAAATTGCTTTATATTATATTCTCTGGAGTCTGGTTTGGGTCGGTCTCTCTCTCCATAAATTCATATTTTTGTTGTTCATAGTTTATTTGCTTTGTGCATATTATTTTTCTTGTTTCTTTTCGGCAGTCGTCATATTCCTTTTTACTTTGGTCTGTTTGCAGTTGTATCCAATTCTTCCTTAGTCTTTGTCTTTTTCCAGCTGTTTCCGACACTCCTCGTCATACCATGTTTTTGCCCTCTTCTGCCTACTCCTTCCAAAGATTTTGACCGCTGTCTTGGTTAGCATTTCGGCAGCTTTTATAGCTGTTCTATATCATTGTATTCTCTTTCAGAGTTCAAGGTTTGTTCAAGTTGTTCTCTATAGTTTTGTTGTTTCTCTGATTTGTTTATTTCGTCCATGTTCCATTTTGAGTTTGTTGTTGTTTTATTGTATTGGTGGCTAGATATTCTGGATCTGACTTTTGCTCTCACCAAGTAATGATCTATGTCTCCGTCTATTCCTCTCAGGCTTCTTACGTCTATAATATTGTTACCATAACGGGCATCTACAATGATGTGGTCAATTTGGTTGCGCGTAATATGGTCGTTTGAGACCCAGGTTTGAGACCAAAATAGGTAAATATTGAAACACAAACCGTTACTGTTAACTAAATGCATTTGAACAGAATATACTCACCTTGAAACATTAGTAAAACAAACATGCTTAATGTACACTCCAGGCGGATCATAACTAGATACCAATGCTGCCAAAATAGCTTGATCCTCTGGAGATAGTCTAATGGTTTCTACTCTTTGCACCATATCTTGATGAAAACCAAAATTGTTTCTTATACTTAATCTTCTTATAAGCTCCATTAATGTTTGAGATCCAACTTTTGGTACTCTGTTGAAGAAAACAGTGTTGACTTGCGCTTTTCTGGTGTTATTTAGTAATGATGGTTGTAACATTGACATCTAAAAATATTACGATTATTTTGGATATGATAAAAAAACAATTTTTCTTATAATTTTTTATTTATACATATATATTTCTAAATTTACTTTAATTAATAACTTACTTGTCCTGTACTTTCAAGTAATTTCATGGTTGCTCTAACTCCTGTAGGTGCTGCAGGACCACTATTATCTGTAAATAAATAGTAATGCCATTAATGAATTGACGAATATATGCTAGAAATATATACCTAGTTAATATATCTTTATGAACAATTTATACTGGTATTCCTTATTTTATTCTGCATTCACGTATAACCGCCGTTAAGAAAGGGAAGATACATTTACTCATGGAATTCAATTTTTTTATTTTTATACCTTCTTTCATCAGCTTTAAGCACTGCTAAGCAGCGCATTTTAAAAAGCGGTTTAAAATAATGCAATAAAATATATTTTTCAGTCTTAGATCATTATTACAAACGTATTTGTTTTAACGCTACACAAAACAATGCTCAAATATAGCAAAAAATGTTGGAACATCTAGCTTGTCTCCCTAGTATATTGAAGAAAGGTGGCATCTTTGTGTTAGATAGAGGTTTTCGAGACATCTCACCTCTCCTAGAAAGCAAAGGCTTTAAAGTATTAATGTCGGCATTAAAAGGTAAAAGAAACTAACTTATATTTGAGGAATCTATTATTTTTCCCGTGTCCTCTTTTTTAGTCCCAAAAACGGATTTTTTTTATTTTGAAAGGAATCCCGTTCTAGGTAGCGATGGAAGTTTCATCGCTCCTAGTAGGCATCACTTCCAGACTGACATTTCCTCCTTCCCCATAGTCTTACTAACACAGCCTAACTCACACAGTCTAACTCATACAGTCTAACTCACTTTTTCCACCTTTTCTTTTTTATGCAGGAAAACTGCAAAAAAGGACGTTTTCGTACTGGCTAAGAAACAACAACAAACACTAACAAACACACAGCAAGTCTACTTTTGTAGACTAAACAAACCCTAGAATCAAGCAGAAGAACTTAAAATGCAAAATGATTTAATTCTTAAAGCCAGGTTTCCGCTACGTAAACATTGTTGAGGTTGACTACAAAAATCCTTCAATAGGTCATCATCTTTGGCTCGACAATCTGTAGATCGTGGCCTGTTCCAAGACTCTTCGCTATTTTGTTTGGTTTCTGGCGACTGTTGCTATCTTCTTATTTGTAATACCCCTAAGTTAATCTCAACTAATTCGACTATTCAATTCGAGATCGGCCTCTGTTCTGCATCTTAAAGATATTCCTGTCGTTGGTTTTTTAGCAATCGCTGTCGTTGTCTGGCATTCGTATTTAGTCTTCTGAGTCGCTGTGTTTTATCGAACGTTACGTCGTCTGGTTCATTAAAATGTTGGTATAATTCGAAGTTATATCTTTTGCGCCCCTGCGCTTGGTCGTTTATACCTTCAAATATTTTGTGAAAGTCTTTCATCGTTCTGCGTTAGAGTTCATGTTTCTACTTAACATGTAAGGATCGTCCTCAGCAGTGTTTTGTATATAATCATTTTAGTTTGTTTTAATATCTTTTAAGTGGAATTATTTTTGGAATCCACAGTATGCTCTATTTGTATAGTTTATTTGTTGTTTAATGTTTTCGCTTTTTTTGTTTGTGGTAGCCATCAGCACGCCAAGCTATGTCAAGCTGTCAAATCATTCAAAAATATAACTTCCAAAGCAAACAATTTAATTGAACCCAGCCTATGAGAAATGTTCACCCTAAGTAGTACGATCGGGTGTAACAATTCATTGGAGCAAGGTGTGTTAACTCGAGTATAAACAGGAGTCACTCCACCATGCTCCAATGCTCTAGACCATCCCTTTCCCCCCTATAGTACTCTGATGCGCTATAGAGGCACAACAATCAGCCAAATGCTCTTCACGTGGAGGTCCTGGATACTAGAACCCCAACATGGTTTCCTAACCGAATGCAAAAACTCAGGATAGCGCATCTCCGCTATATTCCTGTTATCTTAATGTGGCTTATCCGCGAACTAAAATTTCTTCCAGAGACTTTTTACCTTTCATGGTAAGATTTGTAAATAGTACCGCTGTCTCTAATTCGCGTGCCTCGGACGGCTTTTTCCAAGGCAATATTAGATAGGAGGCAAGCGTTATCATTATGTATATTTTATCATTTATCTCAAAAGGTTTAGAATTCTTTCCTTGTATTTTAACAATTTCTTTTAAGTTAGACATTGCCGTTCTCCTTATTCTAAGTATTTCTAGTTTACCAAACTCACATATTGATTCTACTCTCTTAACACTGTACGCAACCATAAAGACAACAAATTGCTGATGGGTTTCAATGTAAAGTTCTAATGTCTTTCGTGGATCTGTCTTATTCAATAAATCTGGTAAATTAATGATTTTTCTCTATATATCGTCTGGTATTGTCCAATTATGCTCACTGTTTAAACTTGTAGCCTTTTGCAGAGAACATTGAAGAATTATTAACCACAACATTAAGTCAAATTTAAAAAGAAAAGTAACAATGTATTATAAACAATAAATTTATTACATCTATTAGATGACCTTTACTGTAAACACGACCTTGCCATTATGCGTAATCTTGGTGGATCATACTAATAGCAGTTAGTATGGGTTGATAAGAAATAATTAGAATTTGTGTTAAGTATGTCATCTTCCAGTTAGAGTGAATTTATGATTGTAGTGAAGTTAGAAGAAATAAACGATGTAAATCAATTTATTATATATTTCCGATCCTCCGTACAACCTAAATAAAAAGGCTCCAGATGTAACAACATACACAACAACGTTCGTTTTAATAATATAGGCGTAGATTTTATCAGTCCTGGTGATTAATTATTTTTAAGCTTTTTAAAGGCTTGGGCAATCTCCTCAATAGTCTTTCGTTTGATTTAAAAATATTTCAATCAATTCGATCTGCTAGGGTGTTATCTGCTTCTTCGAAATGATGACCATTAAATTTTGCATCCAAATTTTATATGGACACATAAATCCAATGTGTCCCTCTCCATCTTTACAGATCTCTATTTTTGGCTTAAACTTTTTGAAGCAAAGCTTATATACTGGCGTTTTATTATTTTTTTTCTATAGTAAATGATGAGGCGAACGGAAGTAGCTACACTACAAGTCGTCACGGAAGTAGCGCCACGAAATAGCGGTCTTCACATCGATTCAATACCCTCCATCAATTCGTTTCTAGTCATCATTCTAAGCAGGTTTAAATTAAAAAACTGTATAAAAAATAACTAACAAAATGCAAAACATGAAATGCATTAAAAATTAAGAAATTAAAAGAATATTATGTCATTAAAAGAAGTAGTAAAAAAAAAAATAAAGGATCGATACTAGAATTCACTTCGTAACAATTCTCTAACGGTCAAAATTTAAAATTCATAACAAATTTCATCCAATTAATAACAATATTAAATGATCTGTTTAAGTTTCTCGTTTTAAAATAATTTCATATAAATACAACGTCGGAATTTGACAATTTTTTACTTAAATCATTGTATTAAAGCATGAAAAAAGAGTTATAAATAAAACAATTTTCATTTTTACACTTTGAAGACTTCTGCTCCAAAGAATCTCCGAAGACATCGAAATTAATTCAGTGATCACAACACACCAGTTTGGTTTCCGCGAAGCCCATTCAACTCTACAACAATGTCACAGGATTGTTAAAAACATTAATGTATGCCTCCAAGAGAAAAAAATTGCACTGCTACCTTCCTGGATATAGAAGAAGCCTTCGACCGTATTTGGCATGATGGCCTCCTGTATAAAGTTAAGTCCTTTTTTCCCACTCCTCACTATCTACTCTTAAAATCATACCTTACAAAAACCTCTCATTACTATCCCATAAAATATGGTGTCACTCAAGATACTGTCCTGGGTTCCCTCCTGTACCTTATATACACTACTGATATCCCAACAACAAATACGACCACAGTAGCAATGTTCGCAGATAACACCGACATAATATCCATCGATGATGACCCACAAGTAGTATCAGAAAGCCTTCAAATACACCTAAACCTACTACAAGACTGGATGAATAGATGGAAAATCAAAGTTAATCATACTAAGTCTAATCAAATTACATTCACCAACAGCAACTCATATGTCCGAGAATCAGACTAAACAACATATTACTACCAATAAAAACAGAAGTCAAATACCTAGTAATGACACTTGATCAAAAGCTCACTTGGAAAGCACATATCTTGGCAAAAAAATTCAAATTAGCATGAAAATACGTCAAATGAATTGGCTAATAGGATAAAAATCATAGTTATCTACAGATAATAAACTTGCCTTGTATAAGTGCATAATAAAGATTATATGAACATATGGATTGCAACTATGGGGCTGTGCAAAGTCTTGTAATACCAAAATCATTCAGAGAATCCAGTCCACAATACTCAGCAAAAAGTAAGTAAAGCAGCGGAATCTCTTAATGACACAATCTGGAAGAATAAACACCTAAAACATGACACAAAACAAGAATCTATAAGCAGCAATTGGATCTATATTAACATACACAGCGGAGACAAGACCTGACACATCTAAAACGAGACGACTAATAAAAACAGCAGAGATGAAAATACTTCGAAGAATATCAGGGAAAAGTCTGTTGAATAGGGTGAGAAGCGAAAACATAAGAAGTGCATGCCATATGGAAGACATAAATGTGTGGTTGACAAAACGAAAACAGGAGTGCAACGTACAGTTCATCAAAAATAGCTGAAAATCCGAAATTTTAACTGTCTGCGCGAACAATGAAGTGAGAACGCACTCTAAAGGAATAAGATAGACTGTATCATCATCATCATCATCTTTGGCTCGACAATCCTCTGTGGATCTTGGCCTGCTCTAAGATTCGTCGCCATTCTGTTCGGTTTTTGGCAACATGTTGCCATCTTCTGATTTTTAATATTCGTAAGTCGGTTTCTACTCCATCTAACCACCTAATTCGCGGTCGGCCTTTGCTTCTTGTTCCTACAGGTGTTCCTGTGGTTAGCTTTTTAGCAATGGTATTTTCTGGCATTCGTATTATGTGTCCGTATTATGTGTCCAGCCCATCTAAGTCGCTGTGTTTTAATGTAGATAGAAGATAGACTGTACGCAAGTGTAAAACTGCTGTAAACAAGCAGAACTACATATATCGAGAAAGAAGAAGAAGAACAAACACCCATAGTAGTTCACTAAAGTAACCCATATAATGCTTTCAGTGATTATCCGGTATTTACTTATAAGGGTTATGGTCGAAACACTTCTTCGGTGTTCTAATATGTTACAATTAAGTTTTAGTGTTTACAGGAAACATAATTTACTTGTTAATTTTTTATTCGACATTCAGACATTAGTTACGCCAAAAATGTAGCCATTACATTCGAAATATGTCAGTTTTTCTATGTATTAATCAATTATTTCCGCTACAAATCAAATTCTATAGAAGAAAGTCTCATACTCACATATTTCATTCCATTCATTCGCAAGTGACACATACTGATTGCAAAACTGCAACGTTTGGCACAATTTTCAGTTACAATAAAATGGGACTAGTATAATAGAATTACTGCATCAATAATAATAAATAAAATGACTAGTTATTGCAGACATACGGTTAAATAACTCAGTTTCTACAGGGATGTTGAGATTAATATAGCAATAAATGACTGAACTCAATAGCAATTTTACGCTACATAAAGATAAAAAACTATTGCATGAAATTTTAAAAATATATTTGTTTTTGTTAAGATTTTAAATAAATAATTATAAATACTTTATATCAATTTAATTATCTTACCTAAGAGTAACTGATTTCCTGACACCATACTGACAGGTTGAATTTTCACTTCCATTTCTTTAAGTTTGGTATGCAAATCTCGGGTATGAATGTACAGAAATAATGTTGTCGATAGAGCCATAAGAGCTATCAGCTCACTAGTCCTGAAAAAAAGTGTACATATTTACTAACATATAGGTAAAAATGCTTTCAATTTATTGAGACAAAATTCATGAAATAGTCAACAGTTTTAACAATCATAATCATATGCAATTAAAATTTGAGGAAGAGGTGGAATAATCTCTACCATTCCTTCACAAGAGAACCGTAAGAACTACAGAAAAGGTGTTGAAACCAAACAAGATGAAAATGAACTTTATAACAGGATTAAAAGAACGTGTTTTAAGGCTTTCTCATCCAGATTACCTACAGGAAGATCTTCCTGTTGTTGAAAACTGTTTTAATTCAGAACTTTTATCTTTTTCTAATACTGTTAATATAACTTAACACTATACATAAAACGTCATAACTATTTTATCTTTGTGTAACAATAAAAGACTGAAAACTTTGTTTTCAAACTTCCACAAAATTTATTTTAAATCTTATCACTACAGCTGTTTCGGCTGATTGACTTTCTCAAGTGATCTATTTTTGGATTGGGTTTACAAATTTATAGTCTCTAATGAAATAGGTTGAGGAGGGGAGAACTGTTTGTCTCAAGTTGGTCATTCAGAATTATATCTGTGTTTTTTAATTTGTTGATTTCCATAGATTCTAACAAAGATAGCTTAAGGCCTTTATTTTGAATGTGAAGAATTTTAAATTTGTCATTAAAAGAATGATTATGATCTAGAAGGTGAAGTGCGTATGTCGAATCTGTTTTTCTATTCTTGAAAGCCCTTTTATGTTCTGCTATTCGTTTATTAAAGTTCTACCAGTTTGACCGATGTAAGTTTTTGGGCAGTCGCCACATTGAAGTTTGTACACACCACTATTTAAGTGTTTTTTATTTTGACTCTTGTTATTTTTAATATATTTGCCTAGGTTGTTATTTGTTCGGAAAGCTGGTGTTATTCCTTTCTTTTTTATGTGTTTGGCAATTTTTGTTGTTATTTTGAGGAGAAGTCATGTTTTTTTTCTCTCATGACTTCTCCATATTTCATAAACCTACCCATACTGACACGACAATACACAATTCATCATTCCATCCAACACAACATAAACTGGCAGCTTATCATAGTATGTTACATAGATTAATAGAAATTCCGATGTCACAATACAACTTTGAGACAGAATTAAATTTAATTAAGCAAATAGCAGTCAACAGCGGTTACAACGAACAAACAACTAATAAAATGTTAAATCAAAAACTACACAAGAAAGCCTGAAATTAGTATTTCCACCACCAAAGAAAAATCCCAGTACCTTCTGCTCGATTACATATACAGGCAAAATAACAACAAAAATTGCCAAACACATAAAAAAGAAAGGAATAACACCAGCTTTCCGAACAAATAACAACCTAGGCAAATATATTAAAAATAACAAGAGCCAAAATAAAAACACTTAAATAGTGGTGTGTACAAACTTCACTGTGGAGACTGCCCAAAAACTTACATCGGTCAAACTGGTAGAAACTTTGATAAACGAATAGCAGAACATAAAAGGGCTTTCAAGAATAGAAAAACAGATTCGACATACGCACTTCACCTTCTAGATCATAATCATTCTTTTAATGACAAATTTAAAATTCTTCACATTCAAAATAAAGGCCTTAAGCTATATTTGTTAGAATCTATGAAAATCAACAAATTAAAAAACACAGATATAATTCTGGATGACCAACTTGAGACAAACAGTTCTCCCCTCCTCAACCTATTTCATTAGAGACTATAAATTTGTAAACCCAAGCCAAAAATAGATCATTTGAGAAAGGCAATCAGCCGAAACAGCTGTAGTGATAAGATTTAAAATAAATTTTGTGGAAGTTTGAAAACAAATTTTTCAGTGTTTTATTGTTACATAAAATGAATTTCCATCAAGTAACGGTCGAATCCATCAATTATTTCATCTTTGTATTTAAAAATTAAATATTCTATAAATAAACTAGATAAAACAAATGTAGTATATAGCATTAATGGAACTCAGCGTGAAGCTGTATATGTTGGTGAGACCGGGAAAAATCTATCAAATCATATTATTTCCCACAAGACTAATTGTAGAAAAAAAACCATCTTGTGCTTTGGCATGGCATGCAATTGACAAAGATCATGTTATGGATTTTGATAACATTTTGTGTAATGAAGGTAATTTAAAAGGACCTTTTTAGAGATGGTGTATATTAGCAAGAGTGATAGTAATTTAAATGAAAGATCAGAAATTCAAAATCTAAGTAAAATTTCTAACTACATTATTTATTTATAAGTCATTCATAAAACCACCAAAATATCTATAAGATGGACAAAGTATCTGTGAGTAATAAGTAAATAAATCTTCTTTTTTCTTTTTAAAATAAACATTATAAATGTATCCATCGAATGTCCTTATCTAATAATTAATGGATATCCATATGATCCATACGGGATTCCAAGGGATGACGACTTATGAACTGCAATAAGGTTGATAAAAGAAGAAATATTTCTCAAGAAACCGGAAGAAAGCTATGACTATAGCATCGGTTAAGTGCATCGACAAACAAATAATTTCCTTCATGGGTTGAACCCTGAATGACTGCAGATAATTAAATATGTTTTTAAGTGGGTCAAGTGGCACATCGTTTTAAAGGTACTTTAATTATTTTTACAAGCATATTGACATTTGTCTAAGTTTAACATGTATGTAAACAACGTGTTGGACGAGACGGTTAAATAAACTGAAAAACGACTTGAAATATCAATCAAAACTAACAAATTCACTAATAACTACTAAAAAAATGTGTTTAATGTCGAAGTATCGATAATGCAACTTGTTATTGATTTTAAAGATATGCATTATCGTTTGGATTTTACAGTAGTCTATATTTTCTAGATCAGAATCGAGATCATAATTGAGATATGGGCAAACTTTTTGAAGAAAGGCCGAGATAAAATAAAATATTGATTTTTGAATCACACACAACACATGTTGCAATGTCAAAAAACTTACTGAATTTCAAAGAAAAAAAAATGAATTTCACTTTATTTTAAATTTAAATTTTTTCAACATTTTCCATTTTTGTATAATCTTAATTTCATAATTATGATTTTTGTCCGATGTTACTTTTAAAAAGAATTTAAAGGTCAGTACAGAATTCAGTTTTAATCAGGTTGCATGTCACCTCAGCACTATCCTGAAGGATGGGTGCTTGCACACACTGGCACCGGTAGCGGGGTGCAATTAGCCCCCTTTAGTGCCTTTTAGTGAAAGTATATAGCAGGGTTGTCCAACTGGCGGCCCGCGGGCCGCATTCGGCCCGCGAGGCTATTTGTTGTGACCCACGTAAGATTTTCGTAAAGCATATATTTTCTTTAAATGGTGCCACAGCGAAAAAAGATTTTTTAATTTATTTTATATTTTATGGTTTAGCAGTGTTTTTACATCACAAGTACTGTACCGCGTGCCGCTTCGCGGACGTGTAACGAACACAATCGTCCTCCACCACTACGAGAACTCCACTGATTATTGCGCATCACAGTTCACGCAGGCTTTAAACGTGCTTTGGAAAAGAACAACCTGACACACTTCCCTAGCTGTCTGCAAATAGCAGAAGAATTCAACGGTGAGGAAAATATTTCCTCCATGAAATACATAAAAAATAAAAACAGAAGCAACCTTACCGATTCTTCCTTACGTGATCTTATGAAAGTATCAATAACTGAACTGGAGGTGAACATTTGTTCATTGGTGAATGAAGCCGATCGACCACAGTCCTCACACTAATTGGATACATCTTTTTCGTTGATTTTGCAATGTTTGTCTTGATTATTGAAAAGTGTTATCAATAAATTTTCCGTTTATAAAAAAATGTAGTTGTTGAGCAATAAAAGAAATAATACTCTTTTTGTTTTAATTATTTTTATACCTCACTTTATTTTGTTATTACTTGTAACAAAATTATTATATGGCCTGCGACAACATCAAAGGTTTTAGTTTTGGCCCTTGAGGCATTGCAAGTTGGACACCCCTGGTATATAGCTAAAGATGTATAGTATAAAAGCAGATGCACTCCCTGAATATAATCCTATTGATGCCCATGTGCACCCGTACCATAACCAAACCTTTTAAAGTTTTTTGTGCTGTATATTGAATGTCTTTTCGAACCCTTTTTAAAACTATTTTTTAATTGTGATGAAGAAATTTGTTCCTTTTTTACGATGGAATCCCCGTGATATTTTTTTAATTTAACGTTAACTTAAAACTCTGTTACATTTAAATAATTACTTAGATTAAGTTATTATATTGTAGCATAGTTCTGAAGATTGGAAGCTAGGAAATAAATGCTTTTAACACGTTTAAAGTACTTTTCTTCTTAACACATCCATTTCTTTGTATAGGGATCACAAGGTTTTTCTTTTAAACATAGCTGATTATCTTTCCTCACTTTTAGAGAGTGTCCAGGTTTCTGAACAATATTTACCGGTTTTATTAAAGTTTTATAATAATATATTTGCTATTTTATTTTTATAAAAGGTTTTCTGATCTCGGTTGCCTAATTAAGGTATGGTAACATTTATTGGCAACGAATATTAGCCTTTTTACTCCTTCTGCAACATTGGTATTAGGTATTCCTTTTGATGTAATCTATAATATACAAAAAATAGAAAAAATATCAAAATTATCGTATATTGACAGTTCTGTACTACCTACGTATTTAAAAAACCTTTTGTGAAGAAACTGCATTAATTTTTAATCTTGAAAGAGTTTTAAAGTTTTTCTTGACGAGAAAATAGATTCACTGCATTTGACTGCATTTTGAAACCCATGAAATAGTTTAAAATATCATAGATTAATTGATTTTTTAAATTAATTTCGTTTTTGGACTTAGGGGATAAATTTATTGATGTTACTGGGAATATCTGTAGCAAAATGCAAATTCCGTTAGCCGTACAATATATTTCAAATATTGTCTATCTAAATCTTTTTTTATCCTGTGCAGCTCTCACTCCACTGTTTAATGTTTTTCAATAATGAACATTTTCTCCTACCTGGGCCTGTGCTTGTTTCAACTTTCCCCTTCATCAACAACCTCAAGAGCTCATAACCTTAAGGTCCATGGTAATATGGTCTATGGTCTATGGTATATCTCATGAGTAACATGGTCTATGCATGGTACTCCCTACTTTTGATGTTAATTTGACTCCCAAGTATTTAAAGGTTTCAGTTTCTTAACTAAATACTCGGTTTTTTGTTTATTAATTGTAAGGTCTTACTTGGTGTACTTTTCCTCAAGCTTTCTAAGCATATAGTCTATATTGCCCTCGTATATAGCTATAAGTATTGATCGTCAGCAAGGGATATTGTGTAAAATCTCTCGTCTTCAATTGGAATGACCATATTGCAGCATTTTCTTCTCCACACTGAGAGCGCCTCATTCAGACATATCAGCAGCTTTGCTTGAGACCCCTACTTATAGGAATTTCTTTAGTTACTTTGTTTCCAATTTTAATGTAAACAGTTATATTTTTGTAAAGCTGTTGTACTGCTTTTATATATTTTTTATCTATTCTTTGTTTTTCCATTGCAGCCCAGAGATTAAAAGTGGTCTGAAAAAGGCACACTATCGTATACCTTTGTCAGATCTATATAGACTACATGAGTTGAAAGGTAAAAATGACCCTAGATCCGAATTACCGGCTTGGGTTTCTTAAATAATCCAGATCTGTTGATCCGAATCTTTAAAAAGATCTATTTAGATAAAAAGATAGTCCAATGACTATTTTTTAACAAAATTGATTCTTCGTTGTAAGCATATTTATTGAAAATTCTTAAAAACACATTATTTGTTATGAATTCCTCTATTTTTTAGTATTTATATTCATTCTTTCATTCGTGTTTGGGACGTAATAAAAGTTACTGAAGTGATCATTCCTGTCAAGTAAATTTTCCGGTAACTGAGAAATAATTATTGCAGCTTAGGTGAGGTTTAGCTTAGATTGGGTTACGTGTCTAAGAGAATTCTTGATATACAATTAGCTTTTCTCCTATTACAGCAAAACATACAATAAAAGATTATGCGTGAGTAGTTTTTAAAAACTGTTATGAGCGCTTACGATAGTTCCTGTAATTATTTTTAATTAAAAACAGATGCACGTGCATTGGGAAATCGAAACGAATTTTTATATAACTAGTTTACACAAAGTTTAGCTTTTAGTGTTCGGTATTTATTTATGTGTAAAATCCAGAAATATGTCAGATATTCTTTAAGAAATAGTTTTAATTTGATATATTTTTTGTTACTTTTTCTACCGCTCTCTTTTATTAAAACGTTTGAAACTTGCCGCATTAGCTGTAAAACGATTATTGATTTGTTTAAATTTCAATTGTGCATTGAATTACAATTTACCGTTCTCCCAAGAAAATTTAGGTATGTATTCTGCTTAATGACACGTTCAATATTTGTCATGAATACTAATTAATTCCTTCGATTGTTCATAGAAATGTTTTATATTGTATAGGCAATGATGAGCTGATAAATGAAATATCTATTCTTTGTTTAAAAATCTATTAGAACCAATCAAATGTTACATGTGACATGGGTTTACTTCACCATCTCTCTCTTCTCTCTCTTCAGTCCTATCCCTCTGGAGGATGTGTAGTGGTTATCGTGATGCCTTGTATTAGAGGTGGGCTAAATATCACTACTCTGTGATTTATCAGCTGTGATTAGAAAATAACAATCACGTCCTGTAAATAACAACAAAATATACTGCGACTGTGATGTGATTGTGATTTCGGTCTTGTTCTATGTTCTTGATCTCCAAAACGTAATATATCATGTTTTTTATCGTCTCAGTCTCATCTCAGTCGCAAAGTTGTGAAATAAGAGACGTGTAACCGGATAATAAGGAAGGAGATTATATCGTCTTTGGAGGAATATGAGCATTGCTAGTTTAGTGTAACATTAGTACGTAAACAAATATTATTTGAAAAAAAAAATGAAAAAGGTATTTAGAGTTTCAGTTTATGGAATTGGTGTAACTCGTCTTTTTTACTCTCATTTTTATTCTCATTTATTTTAAAAATGACACCAGTGAGAAATAAAAAAAGAAAAATTAGTAGTTTACGGAACTTTTTTATGGAAATGGATGAAAAGTATGCGTAATACAAAATTTCTAAGGCAAAGTTGTTTTATAAAACGAGCACATCTAATTTAAAAAAAACACGTGCAAGTAAAACATCCGACCATATCGGATATACCCAAATAATAACAACATCATCATCATCATCAATCGCGGTACAACTCTTCGTGAGTCTTTGCCTCGTTTACTATTGCCTTCCATGTTTGTCGGTCATGTGCCAGTAATTCCCATTGTCGCACTCCCATTTTCTCTAGATTTTCTTTGAGTACATTTCTAGGTCGCCCTACAGACCGTCTTCCATCTGGCCTTTCCCAGAACACATTGTGATCCAATTTCATTATGACCAGACTGCTGGTCGTATTATGGTCTTATATATCCGGATTTTTATACCTCGTGCAAGAAGTTTTGACTTAATTAGATGTTGCATTGCAAAGAAAGATCTGTTTTCTGCCATTATTCTCGTTTCAACTTCTCGCTCTAATTTGTTGTCATTTGTGATTGTTGTTCCTAGATATTTAAATTCTTTAACCAATTCGAAGTTGTGATCATTTATAGTAATGTTTTGCCTTATTCGCCGTCGTTCTTGTTGTGAGACGACCATGTATTTTGTTTTGTCTTCATTTATTTTTAGACCGATGTTTAATGCAGCTTCTTCAAAGCTCGAGAAAATATCCTTCATTTCTAATCTTGATTGTGCTACTGCGTCTACGTCATCGACAAAGGCGAGTATGATTTTTGCCCCCCGAGCAGTCTGGTTTGGTTTTAGGATATATTTTTCGCATGACATATTCTAAGGCCAGGTTAAACAACAATGGGGACAACGGATCTCCCTGTGTCAGTTCAGAATTTACGCAGAAAGCATTTGATATTTTCTTTCCTATTCTAACTTGTGCAAAAGAGTTACTTACACACATTTGTGTAACCGCAGCTAGTTTCTTGGGTACGCCGAGCTCGATCATTGCCTTTCATAATGTTGCACGATTAATTAAATCATAAGCCTGTTTAAAATCTATAAAAAACTCATGCACGTCGTGATTATATTCCCAATACTTTTCAAGCATTTGTCTTATTGTAGGTAAATATTTGATCACCCAAATAATAACAAGTGTAGAAATTTATGATGGTCCATAATGGCAACATCGTTTTATTCGGAGTTTAACAGACTAATTGATTGCTCTATTGAATTACAATCACAGGTAAAAATCACAATGAATAAAAAAATACGATCACAGTTATATCTGTGCTTGCAGAATCACAGTATACCCCACCACTATCTTTTATTGTCCGTCTCCGCAGATCTCTGTCTCTGGTCATTTCTTTATACTCATGGATAGGTCTTTTGCATATTTCTGTAATTTGGTCGATCCATGCTATTGCGGATCATCCTCGTAACCTTCTACCTTTACTTGGTAATAAGCTTTTCCATTTTTCTGTGTCTGTTTTTATAACAAGACCGAAGTATTATTAATTGTTGGAGATTGGAAACTTGACTTTGATGCAGAGCCGTTTGCTGGCCTTAAGCTTATTTAAAATTGAATTATTTGTCCTGTCTTCATTCACTTCACCAAACAGGAATCCAAATTTGTCAATCAGCACACATATTTATTAGATATCTAAATTAACTGCCATTCTCGTTAGATTAGATAGCATCGTCATCACCATCAAGCCTCATTAATTGACTTGCCATAGAAGATTATTGGACTACTACCAAAGCGAAGTAAAGAAAATGTGGTAGAGCCAGAATTGATTAAAAGCCTACTAAACCAAAACTAAAATCGATAGTTACTAGACGACTTCGATGAACTTCGAGAACACAGTTCGATGGTTTGGGATGGTACAGGGATTTATTATAATAAATGCAAATTATCTCTTTCTTTTACCCCAAATAATTTTTTACATAAAATATAGATTTCTTTTTCGCTTATTACATTACTTTATTACTTTGCATTAAATTTTTTTAAATAAATTGTTAACAATATTAATTGTACAAGTTTTATTTTCTAATTTACAAGAAAGAGGTGTCATAAATCAATATCGCTTCTAATCTACATAGTAAATAGGCATTATATGGCAATGTTGCCTATAGGCAACTAATTCAAACGTTATTTTCTGATGAAAATGATCAGCTTCTATATATGTCTATCAAGGAACCTCATTCTGGGTTTCCCCCTTCTTCTCTAATTAATGGATCTATCAAGGAGCGTTTTTCTAGTTGGTTCATTTTATTCCACCCGCATTTCATGCCCTATCCACCTCAGACGTCCCAGCAAATTGTACGGTTTATCTCTGCGGTAGTATTATTTTCAGTGTTAACATCGTAAAGGGCCGTAAGCTGCAGTAATTGGGACATCATTGGGAAATCAAGGCAGCATCGACCATTATTTTAAATATTAATTAGGCTTTGAATAAAGCAAACTACCAGAACTAAATATGTTTGGTTTTCGATTAAACGTTTGTATAACTAAAAGTTATATTCCTATATTTATTACTAAGGCAAATATACTAATAAAAACATGAAATAGGGGCATAAATATGCAGTATTTTACATAAAATATGCATGTTTATTTAGAAAATATGCACGTACCTAATAATAAAAAATATAAAGATAACTCGTAGTAAAAGAAAGTAGTATCCGTTTTGTTTACAAAAATATTTACAATATCATTTTATAGTAATTAAAATTTATTGATTTACAAACTAAGTTTCGGTAGGGAAATATAATAATTACTTTAAATTGTGTGAACAATAAACTGTTAAATGCTATCCAAATTTTTTTAACAAAAACATATTGCTTCTGAGTACATATATTTGTAAATGGAAAAACTTCTTTATATATCAAGACTGATATAACAAGGGCATTTCCCAAATGTACCAAATGATAATATTTTGTTTTAATTTGTTTTAAATTAAATGATTCGTAAAATGTCTGACCTAGTACTTACAGCACTTATACTAAAGCTTACTTAATACTAAAGCACACCACCAGAAAGAACCTTGTAAATATTTGCATAACAATTAAAATATTTGAATTAAACATATCAATAAAAATCGTTGTAGGAATCTTGAAAATATCAAGATATGACCGCGAATGAAGGAAGATCCTCTATTATTTACAAGAAGAACCCCCTTTTGGGGTTTTCTGTTTATCTAAGAAAAAATATGAGGATAAATTAAATGCACTTAATTAAGTCCAATATATAAGTTTTTGTTTTAGTCAAACAAAGGCAAGCTAATGCTATTGTACGAAAGAAAAATGTTAAGCAAACTTTTATGACACTATTAAATTATTTGAATTTTTTAGATCCTATTTTTTTATCAAAAGAATTCAAACAAACTGCCTGAGAAAACAAAATACATCGATTTATTACGAACTAACCTTGTGTCGTCACGTATTTATTAAAAAACATTCTCATATAAAAAAATTGAGTTGTAAACTTTAGTTCTCTTTGTAATCTTCTTCTTCTTTTGGTGCCTATCCTCTGTGGATGTTGGCAATCACGTTGGTCTATACAACTTTGTTAACAGGTGCTCTAAATAGATGTATGGTAGTCATTGCTGCCCACTGTCTGATGTTCTTCAACCAGAATATCAGTCTGATATAGGAAATTCTGAGCATGCGGCGATAGCATCACATCTCGAAGGCTTTTAATCGTTTGGATGTTGCCTCCGTCAAGGTCCTGGCTGCAACTCCATAAAAAAGGGTAGAAAATAGCATCTCAAGACTCGTGTTCTTATATCAATGTTCAGGTGCATATTACATAAAATCTTCCTGAGGCGATTGAAGACAGCTCTCGCCTTCTCTATACGGCATCTTATTTTCTGTGAGTGGTCCCATTCCTAATTTAGGCTGCATCCAAGATATGTAATTTTGTCGACAATTTTCAAGGGTTCATTATTAGCTGTGAATTCAAGGTTCATTATTAGCTGTGAATTGGTGGTGTATTACATCATTTTTTTGTAATACGGGTTTTAATCTAAATATCTAAGTTAAAGAACTGTTTATTTTCGGCAGTTTTACATCACAATTAAAAATTCTAGAGACAAATGTTACCTACTGGTTTCAATTTTACAATAACAGTGATTTCTAAAATTTTAATATCTCAATAAAAATTTTTACCTAGAGTTATAAACTGGCAGATTTTGTAACACTTATTCAAGAACAAAGCTCAATTTTAATAAAACCTCATTTTAATAAAAAAAGCCACAAAAGCTTAAATAAAACCAAATATCACGATTTTAAAAACGACAAAGTACGTCTACAGTAGGTCCACAGCACACTAACAAATGCTAACGTTTACAACAACTCTTAATGTGACGTAGTTGCGCCAAATGCGAAACACATTATCTTTAGTTGAGTGTATCGTGTCAAGGCAGATACGAGCTACTTCAATGCAATTTACAAGGTAAAATTGAAGGAAAAAGGGCCCCAGGATGAAGAAGAATATCCTGGCTTGCTAACCTGAGAGCATTGTATAGAAAGACCTAAACACAGCTATTTTGTATAGCAACCAACAAAGTCATCATATCCAGAATGATCAGGAACGTTCAGAACAGACAGATACAATAAGAAGATTATATATTAAACCAATGGTTCTGATTTGTGACATACGTATTACTTCTTCCAGAGCCAGATTGAACAGTATACAGAAGAGACGGTCTCCGTAGCGTAGCCTGTTATTTATTTTAAAAGATCAGACAGTTCCCCCTGAATTCGTACTCTACATTCAATTTTTCAAGAGTTAATTTTGTTAAATTTACTAACTGATTTGGTATTCTTAGCTCTTCTATTGCTTTGAACATTTCTCTTCTATTCACAGACTGCTTTCTAGTCTATAGATATGTAATGAGTGATGAGTATCTATGCCATATTTCAGTGTTTTTTCTATATTTATGTCTTCTGTAAATCAAATTATACATACAAACTAATTTTCTTTTAAGTTTTTAAACTTTTGTCGTTACATAAGATACAGTGTTAAAATCTGTATTTTTTATGAAATGTACCAGAGCAGTTTACGGAAAATGTTGTTAAGAATTAACCGTGAATATAATTATGACTTATTACAAAACAAATGAACAAACAATTTCAATCCAAAATATTTCTAATAAATTCACAATCTGCTAAAGCTTACAGCATTCTGCTTAAGTTTTGGTTAAAAATTATATAATTAACAGTTTGTAATGTAAATATGTTTGTATTAAGTTTTATGAAAGTGTAATATAATCAGTATATTTTGTAATACTGTAATTTTGTATTTATTATAGTCCACAAGTATTTAATTTAGATATTATCGTGGTACCAACATTATAAAATAAACTGATTAGTATTTTATTTGCCAACCGGTTTTTAATAAAATGAAATGATTAATAATCCAAGACAATTTGTGGTTGTTTTAACGAATAAAAAAGATCGGAAATCAAAGGAATTCATTTCCGTGAATTAATAATTGAAATAAACATAGTTTTAAAAAGAAGAGAGCTATGGATTATTTTGAATTCCTTTATGAAACATGGAATTAAGCTGTATTTAATGACTCACTGTCATCGATTCACTTACTAAGAACCTTAGGCTCACAACACTTCAATGAGGTACATAATCACTGTCATCAGCAATTAACTTCGGGTACCTCAGTCTCTAAAATTTGGGTTCCTTCACATGTAGGTGACACTGGTAATGTAAAATAGGACCAAACAGCGAAAAAAGCTATCCCAATTTTCCAGTCGAAAGAATACAGCTCCATCAAGACCT